AAGTTTAATAGTAAATCCAAAACAAATAATAATGAAAACGTATAGCATAATATATTTACCCATTAACAGCGTAGTACGTGCAGAGATAGAAATCTTACTCAAGACTTAAGTGCAGAGCCTCTTTTAAGCTTTGTATAAAGCACGGAGTCAGGCTCAGAGTGCCTGCGTAGTACGTACAGAGCCTCTGTTAAGCTCTGTATGAAGCACGAAGTCAGGCTCAGAGTGCCTGTGTAGTACGTGCAGAGCCTCTGTTAAGCTCTGTATGAAGCACGACATCAGGCTAGACGGACACAAGTCTGAAGGCATTTTCCAGAGTTAAAAACGAAGGCTGGCTGGAGTCACAAGTCTGGACAGACCATTAGTAGACACATGCGCTGCGTAGCTCTATGAAAAACTCTGAATGAGACTAACATGTTTGAAGTCCATCCCCAGAGTTAGTTTGAAGGTCATTTAGAGTGACAATTCTGAAGGCATTTTCTAGAGTTAAAGAGGAAGTCTGTTTAGAGTCACAATTCTGGAGAAACTGTAAGTAGACAGACGCGCTGTGTAGTTCTGTGCACAACTCTGAATGAGGCTAACATGTCTGAAGTCCATCACCATGCAGAGATAGAAATCTTACTCAAGACTTAAGTGCAAAGCCTCTGTTAAGCTCTGTATGAGGCACGGAGTCAGGCTCAGAGTGCCTGCGTAGTACGTGTAGAGCCTCTGTTAATCTCTATATGAAGCATGTTGTCAGGATCAGAATATTTGCGTAGTACGTGCAGAGCCTCTGTTAAGTTATGTATGAAGCACGGAGTCAGGCTCATAGTGCCTGCATAATACGTGCGGAGCCTCTGTTAAGCTCTGTATGAAGCACGGAGTCAAGCTCAGAAGTGCTACGTAGTATATGCAGAAACAGAGTTCTTACTCAAGACTTAAGTGTATCATATACAACCAGAGACAATGTTTTTAAATATGAAGATCAACTACAACAAAATTATGTAGTCATGCAAATAACTTTAATAGTAAATCCAAAACAAATAATAATCAAAACATATAGCATAATGTAGTCACCAATTAACAGATCAATGTTCAAACCAAAATCCAACCACAACAACAATACCAAATACGAGTCAGAATGTAATTGTTCATCAAAAGCAAGTATGTAACTTCTGAAGTTTAGGAATTTTTAATGTGTTTCTAGCCAATCCTTTTTCTTCCTATTTATTCCTTTTCCAAGCCTTCTCTCATACAACTTCTCTTGTGATCTCGGATTGTCTGCGGTGCTCTTATACACATCGGAAGCTGTTGCATCTTCACTAGTACATGATACAACATCCTTCAAATAAGACAATCAACAGTTCTGCCATTTGAAGAATTAGTTGCTTCCATTTAAATTTACAAACTGCAAAGAAGGTGGCATTTAGAATACCTTAAACTTCTCTTGAGAACTGAAATCTGACGAATGAAGATATACCTATTCCGATTCAGCAGGCTGCATAATAAATCGTAAAATAATGTTAGGCTAACAAAAAATTTAGTCTAAAATTGGCTAATATTTTGTGCAAATGATAATCAGCACTTGTTGAGCAGCAAATCTCATCTCCAATTCATTGAAGATGCTATGATGGTCTGTTGGCTTTGAAATATCATAAATGAAACAATTGGGTAGCAGAACTGCAGAATCTCGCAATGTTGACCACCAATTAGTCTGTAGTGGCAGTTTCATAGGGAACACGTAAACTAATTGTCATTTGAGAACTCATAAGGGCTTAATCATTTGAGAACTCCCATTTTTTAAAACGTCCATGAGATCCATTCTAAACCACTCATTTGATATAATTGATTTTATTTATTTATTAAATATGTAAGGGTAACTTAGGGGCTATGTTCGTTTTCTGTTAAGACCTGTATAGATATAGTTGTCTGTATTGATATAGTTGTCTGTAAGTTAACAGATAAGTTGTTGTTCGGTTGTTGTGCTAAATAAACAGTCTGAATGTCAGAAATGACCATTTTACCCCAGTCTTTATTTTTATCTGAATAAAACAATTACATATTCTGGTCAATGTGGTATATTAAATCCAAGTTTTGATTTTGGTCATCAAATCATTTGGTATTAATTTTTCCTTTATCTAAGCACAAATAAACAAGTTCTTCCACTTGCAGTCAAAAGTTGAAGAAGGAAAAGCTTGTTTGACTTCATCATCTACTTGACAGTAGCCATAACTACAAGAACCATAAATCAACACATGGGTTTTTGTTCTAATTTTATCTCACTTTCCCTACTCCCTGCTCTGATTTTCTTTTATATCTTCATTTCTTGTGATAAGGTTCATATTTGGTCAAGAACTTCTAGTTCAAGATTCGGATGGTGTTGGCTGGAAATCACAAAAAAAATGAGTGAATCCCAGGAGTTCATGGACATGAATGATGTTCTTCCACAAACTCCTTTCTAAGTATAGATCGAGAAGAGAGGAAATACAGTCAAAGAAGATGGAGCAGAAAATCGATGAAGAATGAGAGGAAATACAGATCGAAGAAGATGGAGCAGAAAATCGATCAAGAACGACATAACTTGATGTGGAGAACGATGGAGTAGAAAAATCGACGAGAAAAACTAATCGATGGAGCAGCAACAGTCGGCCAATGGATTAGATATGGTAGGGTTTCTTTCAAATTAATGGTGAATGTGAGTAGTTAGAGAGAGGGGTAGATGAGAAAAATAAATACAATTTAATGGCTGAGTAGATAGGAGTGTTGTTTTGTAGCTTATCAATTCAGCTCTTGTTTGAGTGATTAAGCTCTTACCGAACACAGAGGTATGGCTATGTGAATCAACCATATATTCTATACAGCTCATTAAGCTGTTACCGAACAGGCCCTTAGTAATTTGATTTATTGACAACTAATCAAAATATTTAATTAATTTTATTACCTAATTTGTAGGATTTTTTAAAAACCTAAATCTTACCCCTTAATTACCATAGCCTTATGTTTCTCTTCAGTTTTCTCCATCCTACATTTTTCTTTGAAAGATGGCAACACCTTCATTTTTTTCATGTTCTAAGCGACTCCTTTTTTTAGTTGATCCAGACCACCACCAGTCTTCGCCGTCGGAATCAACAAATCTTTGAGAAGTGCTAGTCCTTCGTCCTCCATCCTTTGCTTGTCTTCGCAAGCCAGGAACATTACTTCTACAACGAGTTTCAGATCCTGAAACAGTGTCGGAACCAAGATTTTTACCGAGCGGTGCACCTTTAGATGCTTGTAAAGCCGCTCACTCGATGTGTTTATAGCCGAATTCCGTCTTTGGTTTTTTTTTTAAAGTTTTTTGGTTGATTTCGAGTGATTTTTTATGTTTTTGGTTGATTTCGAGGGATTTTGGTTTTTTCAGGAGAATTTTTCGATTTTTCTGATTGATTCCAACACATATGCACATTTAACCCTTCAAAAACTCTAATATCTCTGAGCACACCCCAAACTTTAGCGGGGCACCTTACGTAACCAAAAAAAAATCCTTGTTACAAATTAAGGTCGAGAGCTAGCACGGGACCCCGCTCCCGTCAAGGTAGGTCTGCCCCTGTCCTAAAAGCGTACAATTGTTTGTTACCTACTCACGACTTCCTAAAGATATGGCAAGATTCTACCACAACAGATCCATCAACAACAGGCATCGGCAACCCCATCACCGGCAACCACACCATAGATTCGACCAAGTGGAAGAGAGGGATACATGGCGCTTGATTTTGGCAGATTATATCCAGAAGAGAGAGGTTGGAGATGATAGTTGTCGGATGAGTTTTGGGTATTGGCGGTGGTGGAGGAGGTGGGAAGATGATGAAGCAACCATGGTGGAGGAGAGACGGAGGAAAGGGGGACGGAGATGGTGGTTTTCGGGAGAGTTTTCGGCGTTGGCAATGGTGGCGGGAGGTGGGGAAGATGATGAAGCAACCATGATGGAGGAGAATTATAGTTACAGATCCGGTGCAAAAGTCATCCCACCACAGAACCACTATTATAGCTATGTCTGGTGCATATTGTGCATATTGTCATCCCACCATAGAACCACCATTTGCAAATTGTGCACAATGTTTGGTGTGCACTATGTGTTCAATAAAATTGGGTGGTAGTCGAACGTGTTGGGGACGAATGTGTTTTGTGCACACTGTATTCACAAAAATTGTGGTAGAGGTTTATAATTACCCATAATGCCCTTTATTTGATTTTTTAATTCAAATTACCAAAATTAATAACTTCCTAATTTAATATCATTTAGTGGGTTAAAATGAATACCACAACTCCCACAAATTGTCAAATTCTTAAAAAAAGTCCCTACAACTTCATATAGAGGATTCTTTTTAATCTACATCTATCCTAATGAGCCGTATGTGTATACAAATTTGAAATTTCGACTTCTTATTTTCCAATATAAAAGAACTTCAAAAAAAAATATGTTGGAAATGCTATTAACTATCAGTCTAAGAAATCTCCATTTTCCAGTCTGTTGAATTGAACCTGTAAACTTCAATATCATTCCTGAAAAGCATGCTGAATTGTGAGCAGAAATTTCAGTCCGATGTGCATCACAACCAAGTAGCACGATGAGCCCAAAGCCCGATCAAACCGAAATTTTGGGGGCAGGCCCGGAACGAAAAAGTCGGGTTAACCCCAAAAAACCCGGTCTGGCTCTTGTTCCACCCAAAAGCCTGGCCCGGAGGCCCGAAAAAGCCCAGGTCTTATGAATGGCACCAGAACACCAACAATCTGTTAGCTGCTGAAATCCATTGAGCAATGTTAATACAATAGTACAGAGGAAGAGAAAGAAAAAGACCAACAAGCTTCAAAAATAAAATGCAGCACCATCCTAAAATGAAGTTTATCGATGGCAGACTGCTTTCAAGAAGTAAATATCTTTTATAGCCCTCATTCAGGTGTGCAATAAATAGCTGTTTGAATTCAGAATTAAAGGGATGAAACCAAGAAACCATTCCATTTCTTTCAGCATAACAATTAATCTTTCAGGTGCAACAGTCACAAGATGCAACTATATGAACTCCCACATAAATCTAGATCTAAGGTATTGAGTTTCAATTGTTCTCCAAAAACTGGCGAACGTCTAACTACTATTAGCCTGAGTTATATTTGAAAAAGAATCTCTCGTTCTAACCTGTCCCGTATATGATGAAGAAAAACAAATTGATTTGATCTCACCAGTAATCACCACAAGAGCAAATTCCATTGTAAAAACGATGGAAGCGATTAGCATCTCTGAGCACAATTTCTCTTTGGCACACTTTGGATATATGCTTTATTGCATTATGGCAATCCCCACAAACACGAAGGTTTTTTATAACTCGGATTGTTGTAGATGAAGGTGTGCTTATTAGTCCAAAAGCTATTGCTAGCTTCTCGCTATGGTAATATAGTGACCGCTCTTTTTCTTCTTCCTCAACATCAAGCAACACATAATCTGTATCAGGGATGTATCCATCTTCTTTGATCAATTTTATCAAATCCTCCACCTTATCATATATTATCTCACCTTCTGGATGTGATCTATCATCCACAACAAATACATGAGCTTTATTTTTTACATCTATCCAACTAAACCCTGGATCTTTTTTAACATTCTTGTGCATCATTGTTTTCCTAGCATCAGCTACTTTAGTCCATTGGTTGGAAGCAGCATAAATATTGGATAGAAGTACATATGCTGATGAGTCGAATGGCTCTAATTCCAGAAGCTTTGTTGCAACACGTTTTCCTGTTTCCATGTCCCCTTGAAGCCTACAAGCACCAAGCAGGGCTCTATACATTGAACCAGAAGCTTCAAAGGGCATAGATGTAATTAGTTTCTCAGCCTCTTGGAGACGGCCAGCTCGGCCAAGAGCATCAACAAGACAAGAGTAGTGCTCGATCTCAGGTTCTATGCCGTAATCTTTGGTCATCATCTGGAAATACGAATAGGCTTCTGAAATCAAACCAGAGTGACTGCAGGCCGAAAGCACTCCTATAAAGGTGACTCCATCAGGCAGCATATTACCAACAGATTTCAAATCATTAAAAAGATTAAGAGTTTCTTTGCCATGTCCATACTGAGCTAAGCCCATCAACATGGCGTTCCACAGAACAATATTTTGCACATGAGTTCTTTTAAATAACCGATATGATTCTTCTATGTTGCCACACTTGGCATAAAAGTCTATAAGCGAAGTGCTGACATAAGTATCAATACCACAATTGGACTTGATAGCATTAGCATGTATTTGTCGTCCTTGTTCTAATGCGGTCAAGCAAGAACTGGCTTTGATTAGGGTAGCAAAGGTATACTCATCAGGAGGTACACCAGATTGCCTCATTTTATGGTAAATTAGAAGAGCACACTCCGCATCTCCATTGTCTACACACCCAGAGATCATGGAAGTCCAGGCAACATTATCTGGAGATGGGATTGCTTGGAAAACTCTGTGAGCATCCACCATGTCCCCACATTTAATATACATATCGAGGAGGCTGCTACTGAGATACAAGTCTGGATCAAACCCAAGTTTCAGAACATAGCCATGAATTTGCCTCCCAAGTTTTAAACTCGCTAGGAATCCACAGGCTTTAGCCATGGTTCCTAATGTTATCTCATCTGGTTTCTCTCCATTTGTGTGCATCAGTGTAAAGAGCTCCCATGCTTTATGACTATTGCCACTGCTTATAAATCCAAACACCATGGCGTTCCATGATGCTAAATAAAATTCTTTTTTATCTAGCAAAAGAAATTCTGCCTCATCCGTTCCTCCATTCCTAGAGTAAGAATCAACAAGTGCTGTGGAAACAAAGGTGTCGCTATCAAGTCCACTCTTCATTGCATGAGCATGAATTTGCTGAGTTAGATGTAACCCTGCAGAAAGTGAAGAGCATGCTCGTAATACACTTGCCAATGTAAAATGATCAGGTCTCAGGTCATCACGTAACAGCTTTATATACAGGTCCACTGATTCTTCCACTAAACCACTTTGTACATGACTGGTTATCATTGAGTTCCATGAAACCACATCCATTTCCTCCATGTCAAAGAATATTCCCCTCGCTGATGTTAACCGACCCATCTTTGAGTACATGTTAATAAGACTATTGGAAATGCTAACATTGATATCAAAAGCTGATTTCAATGCCATACCATGAATCTGTTCCCCCAACTTTAAATCACCAAGTGCCACCACAATAGCAAGAGAAACAATGAGTGTCACATTGTCATGCTTTATGTTTGACCTGTTCATGTCCAAGAAACACTTGATAGCAGTCCAATGGTCACCTAATTGGAGATGGTGGGATATGGTTTTATTCCAAGAAACAACCTTAGAAAAATCATCATCAGTCAATGATAACTTCATAGCATATGCATGTACTTGCTCCTTATACTTCCTATCTCTATCATCATCCTCCGCAAACCCACCAAGTACACACTGCAAACTGCCAACATCTGGACGTACAACCTCACTCCGATGAAAATCTGACAAAAAATGGCACACTTCCTCTTGAACTCCCATTTTTACATAGGCTTTCAGCATGACATTCCACAGGACAGCATCCCGATCATATTCTGCCATGTTATCAAACATCAACCTTGCCTCCCTTATCTTCTCAAACTTGATATAGATGTTAACAAGAGCTCCAGAAATAAACACCTCCGATTCCAACCCTATTTTTGCAGAGTACCCATGAACACATTCTGAAGCCCAAACGTAACTCGACATCAAACATAACTTCAAAACCGGGGCAAAAGTCAGCTTCGTCAATGAAACGTCAGATGATCTGAGAAGAAGCTTAAAAAGACGAAAACCCTCTTCTACGTTACCTGAAAGGGAATCGCAGCAAGAAGCGTAGGCTGCTAAAATCGAATTCCAGGTAACAAGGTCTCTATGAGGCATTACATCGAACAGCTGGCGAGCAGAAGGGAGACAGCCGCATTTCGAGTACATATTGATAAGATTGTTGGTCAAAAAACGGTCGGATGTGATGTGTCCGTGGGTTATGAGGAGAGCGTGAATGGATTTCCCGAAAAGCAAGTCGTTTCGGGCAATGGCAGTGCGGATGAAGGTAAACCATGGTGATTGTGAAGAGGAAGAGGAGGCGATGGTGGTATAACAATTTTGGGTATTTTGAAGAGTAACGTCAGGGAAATATGACCGGAGAAGGGTGGCGCAAAAAGGTCGGTCCGGCGAATAACGTCGGAATTTGCAGTGCCGTTGCATTTGCGGCTTCGTGATTACCCTGCATTCTGTGTGTTATCCCTCCAAATTAAACCCACAACAAGTAGCATGATAATAAAGATTTATATTGTAAATAAGAGATTTAATTATATTATCTAAACTCAAATCTAGTGTTTAAATAAAAAGAAATTAAAAGAAACTTTATTTGGGAGGGAAATAAAACAAATTTTTTATGTTTTTAAATATTCGCTTATTTTACAATGATTTATAATTGATAGATAGGTTTCTAAGTTTACAAATCGGTTATTATTTCTTTCCTTCCCTTTATTCCCACATAGAAAGTTTTTAGAAGAAAATCATCATTCATTTTTCTTTTCCTCTAAGAGGAAAAAAAATACGAGAAGATGAGGTTTTTTCTTTCCTTCCTAATTTCCCTCTCTTTCCTTTGTAAGAAGGTCTCGAGAACAAAAATGCTAGTTAAGGGTATTCAAAAACCCGACCAACCCAACTTAATGCAAAATAACTCAATTGAAGCAACTTGATATCTAATTGAGTTGTAAAATCTTCAAACAATATGTATTAGGTTGGAATTAGTTACGGTCATTTGTTATCATTTTATTTTTTGGATTTAATATGATTGGTATGTCTCTACTGATATGTACATTAGACAATTATATCATCACGTACCTTATTCATATACACATATTTTCAATCTATTCTCCATCTCTATATAACAATTACATCATCATATACCCCATTCATATACATATATATAAGTTGAGAAAAGTAGTTCAATTTGATGATGAAAAAGGAATTACGAGTAGAGAAAACAATATGTTCAAAGTAATAAATATAAAAGAATGTTTTGATATACCAAAGTATCAACCCAACTAACCGTACATATTAAGTTGGATTGAGATTTTTTAAAAACGTAAACATTAGGTTGGGTTGTTCATACGCCTTCAACTTGATTAACCCAACCCATGAGCACCCTTAACGTTAGCCTCTAAAATATTTGTTATAACGAAATGGGAAGGTAAGACGGAAGAGATTTATAACCAAACGGGAGGCTAAGATGGAAGAGATGTAGCGAGCGGAATCGTATTGATAGAAAAAGATCTAGCGAAGATGTCTGCCAATCGGTTTTTGTATACCATGAGCTCAAGGTTGTGCCATATAAACTTTTTTTGTAAAGGAAACCATGCAAAAGCACATACTTGAGGAAACAGACTAGATAAAAGAAAGCAGGAATAGTGACGACCCCATTAGGTCTCTAGTTTGAAAGACCCATTTGCAACCAACTACATTTCTTAATAATCCATTTGTAGTGGGTTGGGTTGGGAATTGGGATGGAAACAGAAATCTGTTTGATATGGGGAAGGATTTATGGTGAAGAGCTTAGCCAATCCAGACCTCACCTGCAATTTACATGTATAGCCAAACAGACACAAAGTAAAATTGCATGAAATGAAATGAAACCAACTCTTTTATATCTGACTCGCAACTACACCTGCAATCCATTGGGAAAAAAAAAGGTAATAATTCTGTTGTTGGATCATTGATTACACCTTTATAATACACAGATACACTTTTTCCTTTTTCTAATCTCTCTGCCCTTACTTCCATGTACACATACAAGAATATATCGTTTTCTTCTCTCTTTTTTTTTCTTCATGAAATTTGATTTGTTATCATGTCAAAAAACTCCTATTCGCTTTTTTTTAAATCAATATAGCACAACTCGGAGGAGTCCTGGTTGGGGTTCAGAGTAATCGAGACCCTCTTCCTCCAGCAGATATCTCTGGACGGCAACAGGAAGTCTAGCAGGAGTACGTGTCCCTTTAGTATGGTGGCCCGTTCCAACACATATGTACACCTGCATCCGCTGTTCTATCGATCGCCCAATGTTCCTCAGCACACCTAGATCTCGCTTCAGGACGTGAATGGCTTCGCTCACATGTAGCCCGTGAAGATCTATTATCCTTTCATCACCTCCTCTTCCATTGCCCTGCTGCTGCATATCCGGATTCCTAACAAAATAAAACACCATTTACAAGGTAATCATGAAATATGTCATTTGTTAGCATCTAAATGTGATGACATATGGAAGCGCCTATATCTTAAGAGTAGAGATGAAACTAACCTCTGATAGTAAATTGATTCTTGAGCCTTTCCATGGGCAGCCTTCATTTGCATGTTGTGCAATTGCCCTTTTACACTCAGTTCTTTCGCTAAAGCCTTGTGCCCAACAAGGTAAGCCTGTCGTGCCTATTTCCATCCCACAAATGCAATTCATCAAACAAGAAAATAGCCCATTACAACACAAACTTTGTATTTACATATGCAATGTCTTACAACTTCCAATACAACCAAGATTAGCTTCGAGTCTAGAGCAGTGTGTACTAAACGTCGAGTCTACTTTCTGCATTAAATTGAATGAATCTTGCAACTGAAAACCAGACTTATGATTATATATGATCTAAATTTCTCACAATTAGGGAAGTTGATAGAAGGGAGAAATGGGTTTTTTGTCCCCTGTTCTTTCTCAATGGCACAGAGTACCGACTATTTTTAATTATTTTTATGTTTACTAGGATTATTGAAAATTTATGTATTGCTAGATATTAGAGTTACCTTTCTGATAGCACATGGCAAGAAGATATAGCTTATGTGAATGAATGCTTCGTTGGGGAATCAGAGAAATGAGATATGCATTCAAGGAATAATGATCGTTAAGAAGCAAAGTTTTCTCAGGACTCTGTCGAATAGTTTGTGTTATCTAATTAAGGAAGAACACTGATTAGAGTCGAGTTTGTTACATACTTGGTGAATATTCCACGTTATTTTCTGATATATTATTTCAGAGGGGATAATCCCATATTTATAATGTTTACAACTCAACCTCAAAGGTTTACAAGATAAGATTAAAGGCTAGAAAAGAAAAAAGATACTGACTACCTAACAATCCTCCACATTCCTCAAGTTGGAGCATAGATATCAATCATGCCCAACTTGTTACAAGTATAGTCAATTTGAGGCTTCCATAGATGCATAGTCAGGATGCCAATATTTACCAAGGAATCACAGACACAGAAGCCAAGGTATTTCTTCTTTCTTTTTTTAATAACAATAAATAACTACAAAATGCAGCTGAACAAAAAATCAGAGACCAAGAAAGAGCAAGAGGTGTTACAACAGAAATCAGGTTGCAAAAGCAGCTGCTATAGTTCCTTAATGGTGGCTAGGTTCTTTTGCAACTTGGCAGATTCAAATAAAGCAGCAAATGAGCAATCAGTTATGAACAATGCAGAAAGAAGGCAGCACAAGAGAGTGGGCAAAACTGGACAGGGGGTAGCAGGGGTCCCTCGCAAAGAGTCAGGTCTCCAACCAGATGGGTGCATGATGAAGGTCATCATTTCAGGAAGAAAAGCTAGAGTTGGACAATTTGTGGCAGCCATGCAAGTGCTTGCTCGAACAAGGTCTTGAGCTAACGGATGTTGACCATCAAGAGCAGGTTCATAGTCACACACAAGCCAGGTTCATGATCTGCAAACTGGAGGCTCAGGCTAGGTTTTTGGTGGCCAGGGTTCCAGCAGAAGTGGTTGCAGTGGCTAGGGTTTTCATTAATATCACTTAGCTCTAATACCAGGTGAAAGTTCCAGGTTATTTTCTGATGTTATTTCAGAGAAGAATCCAATATCTATAATGTTCACAACACAATATCATATATATGAGATAAGGATAAAGACTAGGAAAATAAAAAGGATAGCATAACAACAACTATCTACATATCCTCTAAAATACCTCCAAGTGAAAAATGGTGTATAGTCACTACACCAAATTTCCAGTAGCAGCACCCAACGTGTATGTTCTAGATCACAATTTTACACATGGTACAACCACTTCATGCAGTATTGGACAGACTGCTGCTCAAAATTTGTGTGGTAACAGTCGATATGTAGTCCAGCATACTTCAATACTTTCTCTTTCTTACATTTGTCTCAATCTTACTCGACTTCATGTGGATTTCCTAGAAAATGTCAATTTGAGATGGCCTAGCTATGGTGTTTTACTCTATTTTCATTCTAATAAAACCTCAAAAACTACCTCATATAATCCGTGGTCACTGACTCACTTTTTACCTTTATAATGTCTTCAACATGTTTTTTCAAGATTTAGCAGATATCAGATTTTCTTATGAAATAACCTGATTCTTAACTTGTATTTTTGTGTTCTTTCATCTACGATTCACAGAAAGATAGGTTTCAAAATTGTTTTCCTGATGAAAATAGATGCTTTTGTTCCTACTTATTACGTTGTCAATGGCCCTTTTTAGACAATTCAAACATGGTCACTTACAGTGAATCTAAGGAGTATAGGATTTCACTTGCCTTCATCATTCAATGGAAGCGAACATCAAAAAGACGTCAATATTGCATTTGAAATCCAAATTGTTCTAAAACCCCAGAAACAGAAAGGTGAAAGCAGAAGCGAATTCACAATATCTCACGAAGTTAGATTGCATGCTGATGCATGATGCATGATCCTCTCCTACAACTTATAATTATGATTTCCTCATTCAGCTAGAGCAAGATGGTAATTCATCAAACATAAATGGCTATACCTGTTCAAAGTATGCGTTGCGTAGGCGTGCATGATCACGAGCTTCACCCCGCATTTCGGAATACATATTTGCTGTGATCTCAACAAAGTTAAAGTGCATAGACACAAGCCATTTTATCGAAAATGTAATTTAAGTAGATATGTTTCAACAAAGACATTACCAACTGCTTCCCCAGTTTCAAGCCACACAGGAGCAGAACGGCTTGAACTCCGGTTGGCAAACCGATCCCCATAACTGCCTCTCCCATGCCCACCGCTATAACTGCTAGCCAACGCAAGAGAACTTCTACTTGATCCAATAGTGGAATTTGGAGAAAGGTTTCTATCATACTTCCATATGCTTGAGTCCTGTGACGCCATTTTTCTAACTGCAGAAGCAAAATCTGTAGCACCTAGAGATGGAGCAGTAGGAGAAGATTTGAACATGAGTAATTCCTTCTCCAAAGAACGATAAGAGTTAACATTCTGCTGCTGATCATGTCCAGAAAATGTTGGCACCCTGGTCTGATTATCCGTGGGAGACAGTGCAGGAAAATCGAGAGCACTGAGATTTGGAGCAGACAAGGCCTTGGAGTTCAGATTCTGGTTCAGGCTACCATCTACCTGAAGCTGCAATTAAAATATTAAATATACAGTGTAAGCCACTCTTGAACAAGAGGATGGATTATCTCACAATTGCAAACCCTGTACAAGAGAGTGGCTTTGAAACACGTTATCCTGTGTGCAAATAATCAGAATACGAAAAGAAAATGATAACATGCAAATTTTCCTTGTGCCTAAAAATAGTGCTAAAATTAGTCATAATCAAGTAGACTAGATCTCATCATATGAAATTCTATGCTCCAAATCTGGCCCCTTGCTATAAATTTAAGAGGCTGAAGTTTCCATTCTGCATGTGACTTGATAGTGATCTGTTGCCAATGCATCAACGGCATTGCTTGCTACCCACACACGACTCCAACATTCACCAATTAGGTGGTAGACAATACATGAAACAACTTGCACAAGATTCTGTAATGTTAGAATGTTCCATGACTCTATGAAAAGTATGCCTGTGTGTTAATCTACTGCATGCATTGTCTGTCACCCAAAAAAAACAAATTCAGAGAAGGGTTGGCAAATTGTTTCACACGAGAAAAGGATAGGGAAATCTATACAAACAACCAAAAATATCCACCAAACCCCCCATCATTACTCTGTATAAAGTAAACATGCAAGTTAATGCAAACTCCCTTTTCATAATGACACTCTCTCTTCGAGAAAGGAAAAGGTAAGACTTTGGTGGTTGCATTAATGGTTGTTATAGATTCACTCCAAAGACACAAAGTGAGCAGTCAACCATCCATGAGGAGAGACATAAGCCTAAGACAACAGGTGTAAATGCTCATAGCTATGTGAAGAATTTCTGGAGCTGTCAATAATTGCATCAAAGATCTCGAGGATCCTATCAATTAAGGGTGGTATCCCTGATTTCCAGCATTCTGTTTTTAGAGATTTTCTCTATCCTTTCTTTAGTTGAAAGGATTCTCCTTCTTTTGTATAAATAGTCTTGCTTTGTGTTTTACAATTAACTGGAAAATATATGAAAAGCCTTTTAGGCTCAACTCTGTTTGGTTTCTAGATGGTATCAGAGCATGGTTTCTAATCATCGCCTTTTATGGAAAACCTTCCTTTAACTTCGGTAGATACCAACCAGACCAAACGGCTCTCATAAACGAGTCCACCAGCTCCACCACCGACCAAAACAAATCCAACAACCCTCGTCCACAGGTTCAACAAATGGTTGCTCTAGACATCTTTCCGATCACCGGTCACAAGCTAAACGGCCAAAATTTCAGCTTGTGGTCACATTCCATCCAGATCTTCATTGGCGGCAAGGGAAAAGAAGACTATCTCTTGGGGAAAAGCGTGTCACCCGAAGAAGGAGACCCCACTTACAAACAATGGAAAACCGAGAACAATCTCGTAATGTCGTGGCTTCTCAGCTCCATGACGGCTGAAATCGGAGAGCAATTCATCTACTACAAAACCGCCGGTAAAATCTGGGAAGCAGCAAGGGACACCTTTTCTAATAAAGATAATACCTCTGTTATCTTTGAAATCAAGGGGTTACTCCATGATCTCCGGCAAGGAGACTCCACAGTTACGAGTTATTACACAACCCTAACTCGTTTCTGGCAACAACCTGATACTCTCGATGAAAATATGTGGAGCTGTCCCACTGATGCAAAGTGATATTGATAGGTTCTACAAGTTCCTTCTCGGTCTAAATCGAGAACTAGATGAAGTTTGGAGGAAGAATTCACCAACACTAAGCCATTGCCCAACATTCGTGAAGTGTTCTAGAGTTCGACATGAGGAAAGCAGAAGAAAGGTAATGCTTGGAAGCAGTACTACCTACCCGGTTGGAGAAGGGGCTGCCCTAGTTGCTCGATACCCATCACCTAGCGGGAAATTTCAACAAGGTAATTCCTAGAAAAGGTCAGGACGGCCATGGTGCGACCACTGCAAACTGACAGGTCACACAAAAGTATGTTGGAAAATTCATGAGAAACCAATGGATCGAAAATCAAACCTCTCAGAAAACAATGTCCGTGCAAATATGGCAACTTCTCAAAGTCATGAACCGTTCAGCAACGAACAGGTAGCAGCCCTCCAGAAAATTTTCCATGACACACTACGGGGAACTCAATCCTTTGATCAGACAAAGACTGCAATCGTGGCACAAAGGAATGCGTTGAGCACTCATATGGAGCAAAACAAACCATAGATTGTGGAGTCTGGTGCATCAGATCATATGACTGACCATATGAGTGGTAACCGAAACATCTTCTCCACCTTTCAGCCAGAATCAAGTGGTGCCACCATACGAGTAGCAGATGGGTCCAATTCACAAGTCATGGGTATTGGTACAGTTGTTATATCAAAGAAAATCGTGTTAAAATCTGTGTTATATGTTCCAAATCTGGAGTACAACCTTCTATCTGTTAGAAAACTCACCCAAGACTTGAATTGTCGTGCTAATTTTCTCCCTAGTATATGTGAATTTCAGTTTTGAACTCGAAGAAGAAGATTGGCAGTGGGCAGGTCTGTATCTCCGTAATACCAATGTGTTTGCCAACCCCTCCAAACTCAAGCCAACCTTGTTTACGATTTCTAGCGTAAAAAGTGATGTTATGTTATGGCACCGTAGACTAGGTCATCGCAATTTTTTGTACTTAAAGAAATTAGTGCCTGAATTAATAAAGGATTCTAGTTCTCTTAAATGCGAAACATGTCAAATCTCGAAACATGTTCGACATTCCTACCCGCTAGTTCCTTATAAAGCCTCTCATCCAGTTCACCTTATTCACAGTGATGTCTGGGGACCTTCTCGAATAAAAAATATAGTTGGGTCACGGTGATTCGTCACATTTATCGATGACCACACCCATGTAACTTGGTTATTTTTAATGAAGGAAAAATCCGAAGTTGGGACTATCTTCCAAAAGTTCCACAAAATGATTTATTTTCCTCAAAAATGCAAATTCTAAAAACCGATAATGCTAAAGAATATTTCTAGTCCGAACTTGGAACATACATTTCCCAAGAAGGGATTGTCCACATCAGTTCCTGTGTGAACACACCCCAACAAAATGGCGTGGCTGAAAGAAAAAACCGGCACCTCTTAGAGGTTACCCGCTCTCTCCTATTAGCCAACCATGTTCCTAAGCAATACTGAGAAGAGGCTGTTATGACGTCGGCATATTTGATCAATTGCATGCCCTCTTGAATCCTCACTTTGCAAACACCACACCAAACACTCTTATCCACCTATCTTTGTCTCAAACTCATGTCCCATATTCCTCTAAAAGTGTTTGGGTGTACAGCCTTTGTCCACAATACACAACCAAACCGAAGCAAGCTTGATCTGCAAGCGTTTAAATGTATATTTCTTGGGTATTCTCCTAACCAAAAAGGGTACAAGTGCTACTCTACATTCACAAACAAAGTATACAACACCATGGATGTTACCTTATTCGAAGAACAACTATTCTATGCCAAAACCGATGTTCCAGTGGAGAGTGTGGAAGAATACCGGTTCATGGCATACTCAGACACCACAAATAAGCCCTCACCTATCACAAATCAACCCTTCACAAATAAGTCCTCACCTGTCACAATTCAGCTCTCACCTGTCCTGTCAGTCCTCACCAGTCTCAAACCTGTCCTCGACAGAAAAAGGTCAGCCTATTGATACTGAAAACACAATTCCAAAAGATTACATTGTGTATACAAGAAGGTCACAGAAACTTACTGTTGAGCCGATGCACTGTCAAATTACTTCTCCAGAGTCACAACCAGCAAATGATCATACAGGTAGTAATCCTTCCTTCTCGTATAATACTGAAAATTCTGATGACCTGGAAATTCCAATAGCTCTCAGGAACGGGAAACGGAGTTGTACAATGCACCCGATAGGCAACTTTGTGTCATATGAGAAATTATCACCCAAGTATAGATCTTTCACTACCAACTTGGATGGGATAAAAATTCCCAGGAACATACAAGAAGCTGTTTATCAGAAGGAATGGAATGAAGCAGTAAACAAGGAGATCAAAGCCCTGAAAACCAATGGCACATGGGAATATACGGAACTACCAAAAGGAAAGAAGACAGTTAGGTGTAAATGGATTTTCTCCTTAAAATACAATGCCGATGGAAGCATTAGCAGATATAAGGCCAGGTTGGTGGCCAAGGGTTTCACTCAATCATACGGAATTGACTACTCCAAGACCTTTGCATCAGTCGCCAAACTTAACTCCATACATGTGCTATTGTCTATAGATGCTAACCTGGACTGGCCTCTACACCAGTTGGAGATCGAGAATGCTTTCTTAAATGGAAAACGAAAGGAAGAAGTCTATATGGATGTGCCCCCAGGACGGAATCTGGCGAAAATCAAGGGAAAGTGTGCAAATTGTCAAAATCATTATATGGTCTAAAGCAATCCCCACGTGCTTGGTTTGACAGGCTCACTCAGGTGCTAAAGAGACATGGCTTCATTCAAAGGCAAGCTGACCACACAATGTTTACCAAACACTCCTCAGACGGTTGAATTGTTGTGATGATCGTGTATGTGGACGGCATCATCATTACCAGAGATTTTGTTCAAGAGATCGCCCGTCTCAAAACAGTTCTTGGAAGAGAGTTTGAAGTCAAAGATCTAGGACAGTTAAAATACTTCCTAGGAATGGAGATCGCCATATCAAAGAAAGGAATTGTTGTATCACAGAGAAAATATACTCTTAATTCTCTCTCCGAAACCGGACTTTTAGGATGCAAGCCAACAAGTATTCCGCCAGCACCCGCCAGCAGGTCACCTCAACCAAAAGAAGATGCAAAGCTAGTGGATAAAGGGAGATATCAACGGCTGGCTGGAAAATTAATATATCTCGCCCATACAAGACCGAATATTGGATATGCAGTCGGAATGGTCAGCAGGTTCATGAATACTCCAACTAAGCAGAACATGGATGCAGTGTTCCAGATCCTCCACTATGTCAAGAAAAATCCAGGATAAAGACTCTACTTCAAAAAAACAAATAGGAGAGACCTTCAAATCTTCACTGATGCTGACTACGGAGGTTTAAGAACCGATGGAAGATCCACAACAGGTTGTTGTTGTACCTTTGTTTGGGGAAATTTGCTAACCTAGAGAAGTAAGAACTAAGAAACAACAAGTAATTTCCACGAGCAGTGATGAGGTTGAATTCAGAGCCATGTGCCATGGGATTTGCGAAGGAATTTGGATTAAAAGGATGCTCAAGGAACTAAGGCTTCTCAATAGGGAACCAATAAAGCTCCTATGCGACAACAAGGCAACCATAGAAATTGCAAAAAACCCGGTGCATCACGATAGAACGAAACATGTGGAGATAGATCAGCACTTTATCAGAGAGAAGATAGAAACAAGAGCACATGAGATCTCCTTTGTGCCATCTGAACTTCAAGTAGCAGATGTCCTTACTAAAGCTTTACCCAGGGGCAAGTTCGAAAAAAAATGATTAATAGGTTGGATACGATCGACCTCCATACCCACCTTGCGGGGGAGTGAAGAATTTCTGGAGCTGTCAATAATTGCATCAAAGATCTCGGGGATCCTGTCAATTAAGGGTGTTATCCCTAATTTCCAGCATTCTGTTTTTAGAGATTTTCTCTATCCTTTCTTTAGTTGAAAGGATTTTCCTTCTTTTGTATAAATAGCCTTTGCTTTGTGTTTTATAATTAACTGGAAAATACATGAAAATCCTTTTAGGCTCAACTCTATTTGGTTTCTAGACTATGGTATTTGATCAAATAACGAATGACTTAATTTATACTAACAAGTAAAATAGTGCCTAGATTGATACCAGATCAACTTTAAATAGTCCAAGTGAAAAACTAACTACACCTCAGTGTACATAAGTAAATGAAGATTTTACATAATGTAATATCATTTAAAAAGTCAACGATCCCTGTAAAGAAATTACTAAAACACCGAGTCACTGTAAAAAATAAAAGTACAAATAAATTGACTGAAGATAATGAGTCTAAAGAAAAAATAAGGAAAGGGAAAGAAAAAGAGTCTATGCCTTCAAAAACAACAACCTAATAAAACCTAGTTAAGCGTTTTTGGTATAAGAAACATATTTTGTAGGATGTTGGGCACACAAGCTAGAATCTTTATAGTATCAAAAATTGTAATTATGCATGTGAATAGAGTTTATACAAGAAACCAAAGAGACAGTAACATATGCTCTTATCAAATGAAAGAATACGCCATGAAATATCTGCATCTTCAATTACATGATCTGAACTTTGAAGCACTAATAGAGAAACAAAAGAATTAACTACAACCTACAAAATGAGTAGCAAAAGAATATATTGTTTGCAAAAATGAGTGGGCATGAACATGGTGGTCAAAGGCATGGTAGGTTCCATTCTCACAAATATTGCTTTAAGAAAAAAACTACAGAAGGTGTGGAAACTCTCAAGTCTCAGCAGCAATACCGAACCTAGCAGCACCCAGGTGACCATAATGATCATAGGAGTATAAATGATTGCTTTGATGTTTCACAGTTGGGGACCTAATTCAAACTGAACAGAAAGAATAAGCATAAATTACAAAAGCATATTAACCAAACAATCTAGCAAACTACAATTGAACAGGGACCATTATAAACTTTCCATATTGATGGGAAACAGTTGTTTCTTCAATTTCCTTTATTTGGCCTGTAAGTCAGGACAGGAAGTGGGATATGAAGCGTTCAGGCTGTCATGATACATGAGCCATGATATTTTTATGTTTAAATTCAAATAGGATCCTGTCATGAAGGTATTAACTAAGATTAAATTGTATAAGCTGAATCAACTGAACCCAGAAATTTGAAGTTAGAAAATACCTCAAGCTGCGTAAGCATCTCAAAGGTCAAATTTAAGTCGCATCCATTAGCATAATAAACCTCCGCAAGACTTTCAGCTGCAAAACCTGGAAATTGGGAAGCCAAAAATCCAAGAGGGTTTACTTCTGTACCCTCCATCTGTTGCTCATTAAGCATGTCATCTATGTACTCTTGCCCAGGATCACCATTGTAGGGAGGCCCATCTCTAATACCAGCAAGCAACTGATCACCATGCATATCCCAAGGTTTACCAGGCATTTGTTGAAAACTAGCGGAGGATGGATTTTCTCCATATGCTGGAAGAGGATATCTCATCTTCTCAGAAAAGCTACAGCCATTGATTTGACGAGGAGACAAGTCATGTTGTTCCTTTGACATAAAGACAGTAGCCGTTGATGTCGGGAAACTTGAGATTCCGTTTACATCAGCTATGGACAAAGTTGAAAAAGGAATGCTATTGATTCCTTGAGATTCTTCTTCTCCCACAACATTAAAGTCGGGAGTGATATCATCAGGTAGCTGGTGACGCCAGAACTGGTGGGCCTCGTCATCTGAATTATTTGACACAGATGACTCTGATCTGTTGAGTATTGCTTTCCCTGGTGTTGAAGCACCAAAATTGCCAAAATTTGAAGATATGTCTGTGGTGTTTCCGGATGGTGATCTCAAAGCAAATGGAACGAATTCTGCAGCATCTGGATTTAAACTTTTTGCCTTTCCTGTTGCGCCAAGCTTTTTGTCAATGGCAGAAGCCCCTTTATTAAGCAAGCTCATTCTTCTAGACGGTAAGAAAATAAAATGAATCTACAGGCATGTGCTAGAACTCTAAAAACGAACCTGCCAGTTGCAACTGGCGTTACCCAAATCCTGCAAAACATGTATTTTACAATGCAGCTTTACAACACAGACACCCCGGTCATGATAGGTGACCAGCAACAGGCATAGTAAACAAAATATTTTACAATAAATCACACTTGTGCATGAGAAATTCCTAGTTAGTGCAAGCTGTTAGCCAATACAAGATATTGAAGAAATATACCTTGAAGTGGTAGAACTATAGAAGATAGCAAAGATAAACAAAAAGATCAGGGGCACAATGAAGAAAGAATTATTATTACTGCAACATGATTTATAGCACATTAGCATTGGAGTGGTTACATTATAACATTATTACATACATTTCCTTTTTTGTCAACGATGTGGTAACTTTTGAATGCTTCATAAAGTTCAAGAAAGAAATCACATTCTTAAACTAGTAAATTACAATATCAGTATCAAGTTCCTATAAATTGACAATCACTACCCTAACAACTAACCATGTGCGCAATTACAGAGATAACCCACTTTGAAGCTGTGTAACCGATTCCTGGAACTGTCATATATATAGTAAACAATTCCATCTGTATGCTAAAGTTATATTAATATATTTTGCTTGTCCGGTGGCTTGCTTCTTTTTCTAACTAGTGGTATATAACTTCTTTCTGTTGTGCGGCTTAGCCACTATATCAAACAGCACTTGACAAAATCACAGATCTACATTTCCTCCCTCCCTCTGTCAATCTTTCCATCTCTGTTATATCACGTTATTAATTTATCAATCTATACATACATGGGTGATTTCCTTATTGTCACCACCTACAGTCAACAAACAACAATTAAATGCCTTTAATGTCTAACGTTGAGGGTGGTGCCTATGCTGGAAGTCACTCAAGTGGGTGGTGATAAATATAGGATTGTATGAAAATGGTATTGGACAGCAGTTGGCACCTGAATCCTATCTCCTAAGAAAAACTTGTGACATTATGTTCTTATTATCCAATGTAGTTTAACAGCTCCTTCTTAGAGTGGTTCACATAAGAGTAAGAATCCCTTAATATCGCCCATAGAATGGTCATTACATGTTGTATGAATTTAAGAGCAATCATTTCTTGAATTAGATTGGGCTTCATGTCAACAAGGACAAAAATCTAAGGAAATTCTATTCTAACTCCACTAAAGCCTCAAACTTGCCAATAAGAAGCTGATGATATGAAGTCATTTTAACATACAGAATAACTGAAGTGATGTAACTTATGGATTACATCATAAAACCAAAAATTGTGAGCACCTTAGAATTGTAACTCATCCAAATAGCACAAAAATCATCCAAATAATGCGCTCAACATACTACTCATACAGTTACCACTTTTTAGCTTAGAGAGACATGAAAACCAAACACTTTTTAGAACAATCAAGCACCAACTCAAAACATAGATCATCAGGATCAAAACGCATATTTCACCAAATTTAGCATTGAATGTACACCATATCTAACAAAATCACACTTTTCGAGATCCTGATTAACCAATACATCATGTAAACTAAAGAGAGCACAGCCATAACTAACCAAGTAGCGATTATCAATGTTAATAACTCACTGAATTAAACCCTAAACAACAAGCAAAAACGAAATCAATAAAACAATTTCCAGCAAACAATTATAAGCCAAAACCACATTTTCACACATTTCCAATTCATCAATAGTAAGAGATCTCAAAAACCAAATAATCAACAAGATTTTATAAGATCTGATCACAGCACAAGCTGTATGTGCTGAATTATTACCTTTGCGCAGCTCTATGATTGAAGAAACCATACAAAATGGGTCCATTGCCGATAGTTTACAGATGTATCTGAATAGAAGATGATAATAACAAGTATATATGTCAAATGAAAGCAAAAAACAGAGAGATTCAGTAAGAAGAAGTAGAAAGAAGAATCTGGAAAAGTTTTCGTGTGATAACTATATCTCTGCGAATCTGAGGGTTGTTTGTTGTTCTTCGTTGACGAGTGTTTTTGGGTTTGGGTGTATGGAACAAACCCTCATGACCACCCACCACAAATAAAGAGAGAATGAACCTCACCATCTATCCATGTACCCTTCCACACAAACACACGTTGACACGCTACCACTTACACCCACCCCTATTTGGAGGTGTTTTTCATAATATTCATTTTTCATCTTAGGTGGCGTTTGTTTTTTTAAAAGGTGTTAAAGTCTGAAGTCTGAATTCAATTTTGATTTTTAAGAGGTTGTGTTGAAGTCTGAAATCTGAATCAGTCAGACTGTTTGTTTTTTGCATCTGAAATATGAAGTTTGAAGATAAGAGATCGAGTGTTGATATGGATCGACAGTTGACAAAGTTGAGAGATGAGAGATCGAGACAGAAGAGTTGATCTAGAGAAATCGAGCACAAAGAGATCAGAGTAGGTAGGCGACGATTTGAAATAAGAGGTAATAAGAGCTTTTAAGCTTTTAATTGGAAAAAAATAAACACACTGAATCCTCTTATGTCTGACCGATTCAGACTTAAGAGGACATTAAGAGTTTTTTTATTAAAAACAAACAGCCCCTTAATTTCTTTTAAATTAAAATCAAAAGTATCATATTCCAATGAACACATCGTAAACACATTAATTATTTGAGATTGAGATAACATAAAATTCTATTTTTAGTAAGCGCTTATCGATAAAAGTTATCTACTTACTTATTTTGTAAGGTAACATTCTCGATTATCAAAATGAATTGTTGGTAACCGTATCTTACCCGATAAGTGTTAGTTGGATAATTGTTGGTAAAATTCTCCATCATTATTATGTCTCTTATCGGGTAAAAATTTTGTTCTTTGTCTTGCTCACCTAGTAGATGTTTAGTAAACAACCCCTAAAATTATCAACTGTTATCGGATTTGTTTTCCTAAGTTACAATAATCATTTGAAAAGTGCACATTAAAACACACCCTTTGTAACTACGTTTTTTTAAAAAGGAATATATATGAATTCTTAGGAGGCATTTGGTTCATAGAATGGAAATTCATGGAACTTGAATTAATCAAAAGAATTTGACTTTGAAGAAATTATAATGTTATTTGACCACGTTTTTGGTTGGTAGGAATTGGAATTAAATCTTGCAAAAAAGTTGGAATTTGCATGTAGTGGCTTAGAGGTGGGGGATGGTAGCTATGACGACAGCAATAGAGACATGATGGTGTCGATGGAGGCAGGTGGATGAATGATGGTTGTGACGACGACAATCATGAGGTGGTGGTAGGTGAGTAGCGGTGGGGTGGGGTGGGGTGGGTAGGGACGTAGGGG